CCGCGCTGCTGAGCTTGAGAGGAGGGGCGAAAAGCGTTTAGCAGGGTTGCATCAAGGTCGGCGGGCTGCTCTTAAGGGCTAAGGTACAGGTTAGACCTAATATCAGTTGTACTATAGTTCTGGTCTCTGTTAGGCGTTTTACGACTTTTGTAGTTGACCAGAGCACTAGAAATTTACTAGAAGGAAAGAATCAATCGCCGCTCCTAACAAGTAGATGCCTACTTTTGCTGCCTGTGATTAGGAAAAGATGGAGATGTTTGATTAGCAGAAACCAGCGATCAACTTACGTCACACGATTTTGGAACAAGCTCATCCAGACAATTAGTGGAGTTGATGTCATTTCACTTAATATTATGCAAGCTTTCATTCAGCTGTGCAGATGTTCTCTTATTAACCCCCCTCCCCCTTAATGTGGCAGATTGCGGTTGAGCTAGAGTCAAAAGGTAGAGATAGCAGCTTCCTTTCGACGACCTAAAGGTTAACTTTGCTTGAGGACACATTTAAACTTATTACAGCTCAATGACTCAACACTGGCGTAACAGCTGTTGAGCAGAAGCTACCTGAGAAAGGATGTACATTATTTCTCTATAATCTCTTCCCTCTTGAGTACAATCTCTGATCTGAAAAGTACCTGCGGCAACTACACTGTCCATAATCGGACATCAATCCGACTAATTTTTAGATCTCTTTTTGTTTGTAAACCATTGAAGATGCAGCATTAACGGAAACAAGGTCTTTATGGTCCGCTTTCGCAGCGTGTTCACTCTGAAAGAGTTTCATTTTTAATTTTTGAATGCTGAAAAAAGCACAAGTTCATACATTAATTATGCATTGCGACTGGACAATGTCAGCTAAGGAAATATCATTGGATTAAAACCTTGTGAACAGGCAGATCAGATAGTCCAGCAGTTGCTTTGCGACTTAAGCAGTTACTTTGTGACTGTCATCCATTCTGGGAGCATGCTGGCCTTCTATGACTACCGTTAGGGAAACTCCGCTGAGTCGCATCACCACTTCTTTCAGTAGCCTGTGGTGGCGGACGATAAAGGGTCCAGTGGAGCCTAAGTGCTGTGATCTTCGCTGATCACCCTTCCTTCTGTACAGAATACTCTCCATACCGTTTTCCCATACCTAATGTGACTTTCTCTATGTGACCATCTTGAGGCGTGATTGAAAGCGATGGTCACGTTCAGTAGCACTTAGCTATTAAGAGTTAGCACTGCGAAGAGTATAGCTTGGAACAGAATATTCATCGCTATCCCCTGAATCTGCAGGCAACCAGAACAGCTCAGCATAACCTGTTTCTCATAATCAACCAATCGGACATTTTTCAAGATTTTCAATTCAGATGACATCTAGCAGACTGAGCTAAGTATCACATTGACAGAAGCTTTTTGAGTAGTAAGTGCCACTTGAAGAACGATATCTCTATATATTTTTAATAAACAGAAACACTTCCTTGAGAAATGTTCAAGGGGGGATTTAATGTTTGCATTTCACAGTAGCAGTTATCACAGCTTTTCACACTTTTTAATTTTCAAAAACTTATAGAATTTACATTATTTTCAAAATTTTCAAGATGATCATGTTTCAAAATTTTCAGAATTATAATTTTTTAAACTATCGAAATTTTTAGATTTCTCATAATTTTCAGAATGCCAAATATTTTAATGCCTTCTTAATTTTGAATATATCAAAAATTGTAAAAATGTTTCATGAATCTTGAAAAAGTCTAAAATCGCAAATTTCGAAAAGTTTCAGAATTCTCCAAATTTGATGACAACTGTTACAACTACTACGAATTGCAAATATTGAATCCTCCGTTCAACATTCCCAAGGAACCCTTACTGTTTTAAATCCAAGGAAACATCACCCCTCAAACCCTCTGGAACGCCTATGAATGGGACCGTCAGCTATTCGCAGTTCTAACTTTTAAAACCTGCGTGTAACTGAACGTAACCAATGATAGAACATGTTTTCACTGTGAAGAAAATCGGTGTAGCAAGTGATTTAGGTGAAACAAAAAGAAGCCTAGGGTGACTGTTTTTGAGCTAGTCCACCCCTGTGCTAAAGCTAGGTTGGCGCTGAGCGCGACGGGGTGCAGAACTTATAATTCAACCGAGCGTATTTTCGAGTTTTCGTCGGGATAGCTGACGCTGGAAGCTGCTGGATGAGAGGGACCTTGGAGTGTATTAAAATGAGGGGTGCTGATTGCTGCAGCGGGGGTTGTGTACGGGGGGTAAGAGCGAATGTACGTGCTCATAATTGCTCTGACGAGCATCAGCACAACCACATGTCACGTTGGGTGTTATTTGTCTGGTTATACATTGGCGCAGATGCTGATGGTGTCAATGAAGAGGAATATTACGTCAGCATCGGGTGTTCGACACGGTTTCTTGAAATTTGTAACCAGCATACGTACTCCAAACAAGCTAAATAATTCACGTTGTTTCCTGATAATTACTATAATCCGTGGTTGATGTATCATTGACCATATTTAATTGAATAAAGAAGGAGATAGCAAGTAATCCCACGTATTTAATAGGACACGATTATCAAGAAAGGTAAGAAGGTCCTATCCTCATGATTGTCTTGTAGATGCCCTTTAGCACGAAAATCGTGAAAATTAGTATTAATCCATGTTTTATGTATTCTAATCACACGCTGTATAGAATAATAATTAATTGTAATGCTTTTAACCATTGATTAACACATTCTACCTGAAACCAACCATATACTATATTCCAACATCCAAAAAGGGATCTGAAAGGTACCAGTGCCATCTACGAGACAGAAGCATGAAACAAAAATGAATTTAGCAGTATATTTTGATTCTCTATCTGAAAATAAGATACGTTAATCAATGCAGTAACGCTTATCCTAATCCAATTAAATCGCTATTCTGTTGGAATTACTGTAGTCCCCGACGAATCTAAATGAGTCAGCTAGTTTCTATGATCATCACGGGAGATCGTAACTAGATGGTATGGCATCAAAAAATGTTATCAGACATCCTGTATGTTATTTTTTGATACACTTCTACGTCAATGTTAAAGCAATTCCCTATTAATAATGTACAAAAGCAGCTGCAAGCCATAGTTCTTTACACGAAACTTGCAAACCGATGTTGTTGTCGTAAATTAGCATATTGTAATATGCCTGAGTGGTAATGCTTCGTTAACACGGAAGTTGCAAATAGGCACATGGCAGGCATGTTCACGCACATTCAAAATTGCCAACTTGGCATACTGTATCACTATTTCATATCATCAGACGATCTAAGAAAATATAGCTACTAAGTATAAGCATGGACATATTAGCATTGATTCTACCTAATACTATACTTTTGCGCCCAAAAAATTATTCAATTATTCAAGATGAAATGATATGCATAAAGTTTTGTCACGGCTATGTTCTCCTCTTCGCACTAGTCAGAAATCTGGTTTAAACAGGTCAGTGTCTAATAGATGGCGCTGTAGCTAACTATATGCTATATGATTTTTTTGGTCAATTTTAAGAACACTTCATACGAACGTATGTTCTAGTCTAAACTTTTGATGTTTCGGGTAGTTTTCAAAAATAAATAATTTATTATTGATATGTGTAAATACCACTTTAGATATTTTTATGGAATTTTGCATACTTATCAAAAGCCATTTTTAGGGTACTACATTTTTCAATTTCCACCAGTTATGTTCGTACGAAGTTTTCGCACTAACCGATTGAATTATAGTTTGATCTATTTCAAGCAGTTCTAGCCTCAATAGAGATCATATAAAGATAGTTTCCCTGTGTAAGCATGCTATACAGAATTGGGAACAATACACTTGTATTAATGTATACTGGAGCGTTGCCAAAAAGGACAGGCTATAATGCCCTGAAAGCTCACTTCAAATCGATGAAGTATTTCTGAAAGTGTGCCATCAGAGACTAACAGAGGGTGTTTCGATAGCGATGAAATGCTGGAACGGTTTGGAATGGAGTAGTAATGGTGTTACGATGTTGCCGCCATGTTGTCATCTAGGCTGATATAAGATAATATTTGTACAGAGCATAACATAACAAAATCGGTCGGTCCCTAAAACAAGGTGTATCGCATCAAACGTCCCATGATGTTTCTAGTCCTAAATATGTTGATATTGTTCTTAGTCGTTGTGAGTTACTTATATATCAACACGCAGGGCTTTGCAGCCGTGATCAAAATCCGTTTCCTGGATGCGTGGATTACAAGTGTGACCGAACTTTTTCACTGAGATTGGCAGGAGGTCTCAAAGATCCCCTTTTGCTACACCACGTAGGTCTTGGGTACGCTTCAGCATTTGACGACTCAGATCACCGAAGCCCACGGCTTCATACACAGATAACATTTTACTATGCCTTTTGTGAAACTTAAGCCCTACCTCCAAGGGCGATCATCCATCCATCTTCCGCTCGTTAATTTTCAATTGCCGATAAACCTCTCCTCCAAAACTTTTTTCTGGATACGCCAATAGCTTGTTGTAACAGGTGACGAAAGTATTGAAGAAAACTTTTTGCATAACTTCGATCTAAGGGCTCGTCGTGAATAAATTGTGTCCGTAGAATCACGCATCTGACGTCAGTTTTTTGTTGAGACTGAAAAGCGTCCCAGAAAGTCCCATTTTCTCATTTTAAGTATGGATTTGGGACGTTATCGCATTTCTTGTTGGCATTATTCGAAATAAGCATCCCAAATTACTCCAGTTTACTGAGTTTCGTTCACTTGTAACTAGGGTTGACGAAAATGTAAATTTTGCATTGCGAAACTGTAAAGTTAAGTTTGAAGAAGGTTTTAAAAGATATGCAATTTCAACCAAAAGCCATTTTTTTGTAAGTAGAGTGAGTCAATCAAGAATCTGATGTCAGCTTTTCACTGAAGTTGGCAAGAAGCATTAAGAACCGCATTTTCCTACTCCTAACAGGGCTTGGCGATACCTCAAAAATCCCTGAGTTAGTATATTACAACAAACAGGTTACTTTACCTCTTGTTAATGAAGTTATTTTCACCGCCGACGCCGTCCATGCCCAAACGACGTACAGTCGCCAAAGTTTCTTCTAATCTCAGAACACCCGGCAAACTCCAACAAGGATCCTTTACCTCCTCCTCTCCTCCCTCTTTTGCCTCCGTTTAGTTCCATCCTCTTCAGCGCGGATGAAAGCCGTCCGCTGAAAATTCAGTTTGTTATTTTCTTATTCAGAAAATACCGAAGTTCCGCAATTAAGGCAGATGAATAGGAGAGATAATGAATTTATTAAAACTTTTCGGTTTAATGATACCTCTCGCACTCCCGCTGAAAATATTAAAAACTCCGTAACCGCAATAAAAATGGAAATGAAATTATTATTTCTGTTTCGCTGTGTCGGAGTGCTTAGTATTGATCGGGGAGTTCTAGTTTCCTAGGGCTGATATTTTGTTTCGTTTTGGTTTTTGAAATTACATTTACAGTAGTAACGAAAGGAAGTATTGTAAAACAAATAAAGCTGCTCGGGAATTTAGTCATCTCCGGAAGTATTCTTCACACGGCAATTGTCGCGGAAACATTATAATAGCAAAAATTTCGAAAATGAGATATTGTCACCGATTTCCGCTAGTCCCTGACCCAGCCATAACTGGAAATTACTGTAACACTAGAATTTTGATGAAATTTTGCTACAAGGATACTACTATGCCAAGGAGGAGAAAGCTTTATAGTTTTTGAAAACCCTTCCAGTGGCGGCGGAGTAACGGGCAAAAAAAAACAGAAAAAAAACACAAATCGTAACTTTGGTTTTTTGACAGTTACCTCGAGTACTTTTCGTTAACCCCGCTAATTGACGAATCTTTTAAACATATTTTACATCTGCCCTCAAGACAGAATAATGGAAATATGACCACTGCTCGCGCTGAGGGAACATTTTGTTTAGGTGGTATCGGTCGAGTAAGCCTAGAAAAGATGTAATGAATATAGAAGGTAAAGCAGGAACACCAATGCGCAGTGGTCTAGAACACCAAAAAGCTGACAAAAATGAATTTTTACGATTTTTAGCGGAATAGGACTTTTTGTGTCGCTGAGTTCAAATGTGGGCTTGAATTTTCTCTAGGCAATTGAAGGTCACTTCAAGGTCATACGAGGACATTTTCAAATGATGCCGAGCAGCTGATTCCAAACTCATATCATTAAGGTTTTTCTGTTTACTAAGTGCGAATCAGAGGTCAGTTAGTCACCATAATGCATCTGGAAGTCATCTCAAAGTCTCTTCCAGGTCAAATTCAAAATAAGTCCAGGCTCTCACCGCAATTTAAAAAACTTGAAATTCATACAAGCAGTGGTCTCAAAGAGATTCAGTCAGCCGATAAAATAAAATACTTAGGCGTGATTTTGGACAAACACTTAAAATGGGATACCCATACAGAGTACCTTGTGAAGAGACTGAGATGTATTATTCCAAAATTCAGGTACTTCGGAGATATTCTAGATAAGAAATATCTATATAATCTATATTATGCTCTTGTTTATCCTCTATTACTTTACGGAATTTTGGCTTGGGGGGGAGTTATGAATAATAATTACAAAAAGATTGATGTAATTCAAAAATTAATTCTAAAATTGATCCTCCATAGGGAGATTACTTATTCAAGTGATTTTCTATATGTGGAAGCTCAGCTATTAGATTGCAGACAAATTTATTTTTATTGTGGTCTAATACATTATTTCAAATATTCAAAATACTTTAATCGTACCATTCATAACTACCCAACAAGATTCAATCAAAATTCAATGTGTATTCCACAAACATCAAAAACCATTACACAACGATCTCTGTTTTTCTTGGGACCAAAATTCTATAACTTCATACCAGAGTCATTAAAAGTAATTAAATCAAATAAATCATTTAAAAAACAACTAAAAAAATGGATTTTACAACAACCAAGGTATTCCATCCACGAAATTGTAAATCTGAAAAATCATTATCAAAATCAATAATATTTTACTTACACTAACATCCATACTTTTACTTCAGTTCTAATTGTCTGGATATTTTTCCTGACATGACCATAATAATTCACCAAATTATACAGTATTAACGGGTTTTTTCTTTTTTTTTTCATACACTGACTGTACTATTAGTTTTTATTTTGTACAAACCCAAACACAAGTGCAAACTCTTTTTGGGTGCTTTATGTTTATTGTGCGCAATATTTGATATTTACTTGTATTTTGTGACAATAAACATTATTATTATTATTATTATTATTCAAGCCCAGATGCCAGCCATATGGGTTTTAGGGGTTGTTGATTCGACATCAGTTTGTCTCTAGGAATGGAACTTTAAGCTCACTTGAGGGACAAATTCGAAAAAGGTGAATAGTCCTTACCTGCCGTAATATAGCAGTATATAAGGTTAAATTCTCATTAGTTTGCAAAACTTATAATACATTTTATCTAACCGTATGCCAGGGATCACAAACATAATTTATTCCAGTTGGAGTAGTGGGCGGAACTCCACTAAAAGCCTATCTAAATAATACTAGTATAAATAAGTGAAGCTAAAAATACGAATCCGTTCTATTCACGACGTATATGGAAACAACAATAATGAAAGAATTATGTTACATCAAGAGAAGATTCGTACTATCTTTAATATGATCCATATTCAGATGCTCAAATATTTTCAACAGATAACGCAATGAATGTTACATAAGCACTAAAATTTCGTCATTTAAAAGTATTGTCGAATGATACCCCATAAACTTCAAGTTCAATAGTTTGCAGTGATAAAAGTTGTGTAAGCAAGCTTATGATTATATGGCTAACTTGTTGTTTAAGGGCAGTATCGTCAGTGGTTTCTACAATTTGTAGGACGCCTTTATGGCCTCCTTGATTTTCATAGTTCTTCCTATCCTTCAGAAATGCAGGTCAATTCTAGATTGCTACTATTTCATGCATGCGGATTATTTTGAGTTTATATTTTCTTTTTGAATTCACAGATATTTCAGGCCGATAAAACTTGATTTTTATCGTCTGTTTTATCAGTCTTAAATTTCTTAAGACTCAAAAATGAATCATAACCTCACAATAGGAGAGCGCTGACGCTGGCATGGAACAGTTGAAATCTAAAAACACCCCATCCTTTCTGAAGGAGAGAAAACAAAATCAAGGTCATAAAGGCGTCCTTCAGTTGTAGGAACGACTGACGATACGGGCATAAAGTATGTTATAATTTTCGTTCATCCTGGATATTTTGTTTTGTTAATTTTCGCCAGGTTTGCCCAAAGACTGTCGTGACTACTGCCGCGGAGATTTGTCATCGCCACTGTAAATAAATCGCAACGTTTTCAAATGGCTATGGATTGGGGATCAATTGTATGCGAGATGTCGTTGGTATAGGCCATTCAATTTCTTTGATATAAATGTTCATAGTTAAATTTCTTCTAAGAAAAAAAGAGCTAACTTGTACCGAACATAACGCCATTCTTTCTTGCCTTCTCTACAGATAACTGGAATGCAAAGCAGAATTTTAAATTTCTAGATTTTTAGATGCTGGCCATGTAGATCGGAGAGAACTACTGTATACTCACTCTGCATACTTTAAGACCTGTTTTCTGTGGTCATCAAAATGATGGATTAGTAAAGTGTCATCTCTAGCATCAACGATTGATTAGCGACATGATCTATGGGTATAGTTTCCGCCGTCACTTTGCTTATGTCGCATAATTACTATGATTAAGGTCATTTGCTGAGGATCATGTTTTTGCTTTCGATGAGACTTCTTTTAACTTATTTTGTAGCGATATTAGTGACACAGTAAATGAAGCATTTATTTTCCTTTAATCAAATTCGGTATACCTACAGTTATACATGAGCAAGAGGAAGTGGCGGTTAAAGTCTGAAGTGAAAAGATTTGATGTATCACTGAATTTCCTTAATTGTTAGCGTTTGTATGAGGTAAAAAGGTTCAATCAGCGAAAGGTCTGGAGGAGGCTGACTTCAGTGTTATTGAAGTCTAGTCTATTCTAGCGTTTGTACGAATTGCAAAAGTGAAGTTTCAGTACGTCTTCATTATACCGTTCCATTGTCATACCTCCTCTAATGGAAACTAGTGGTGCACCATATTTATCAGAAAACTTGACATTATGTCTTTCCACGCTACGCACTCAAATGATATACTCCTAAGCAGAACCAAGGTCATCACTAAAAACAACGTTATACCTTCCATCATCCCAATTCTGTTGGTCTCAGTTCCGTTTCAGAGCTGCATAATAGACGGGCACGAGTCGCGAGCTGTCTCGGAAAAGCCCATGATGTGAAGTTTTCAACTGACATTACTTGCACTGTAGGAGTTAGTTTGAGTCGCCTTTACAGATGGTGGTAATTCGCCTCTAGTAACCAATAAAGGATGTATGACATCGCAACTGTATCTTCAGGAAATACTAGAACATCTACCATTTCTCCAAATGCTTTTCTTTGTCAGTGAGTCTTTATTTTGTATAGAAAAATAATTCAATTACGCGATACCACTTCATGTGTTTGTTTGAATTTTGGACGGTAGTAACAAACAGGTTGACCCTGAACCTTCAATAGTTCTGGAGGCCATCGACGTGAAAATTCAATAGAAAAAATCGCTGAGCAACTTTAGTAAACCTCTTGCAGTGCTTGTTTGCCGCTAATCTTTTTCTCCTCCCATGATTCCATTTATCGTCAGTGTTGCCTTTCACGGTCAGCTGGAGCAGCTCATATTCCGGGTTTCAAAAAATATATATATGCTTTTTACGATTTTATAATAGTGGCAAACAGTTCTAGATCTTTACTTCTTCCGTTGTAAGAATATCCGTTCTGTCATACAACGTAATATCTAACCATTCGATATCATGTATGTAGATTGAAATTTCTCATCTTTAAGGCTGTCCTCGCTTGCTCCATCCTTGAATATACTTCGGATTTAAAATTAATGTATTTAGTAATCCAAACACCTGAATCCTCTATTTGATTAACGCTGAGCCTTAAATAACACTGACTGCATTATACCGTGCTAGACAGTGAAGCTAGACATCAGACTTATTGGCCTATTTCCGAAACAAAATGTCATTAATCTGAATGCAGCAGCTACCGCCTCCGGGTGATGTTGAGGTAGGTCAGGGTTACGACGACGGTATTGCGCTGTGTCATGCCACACATGCAATCTTG